GTAGTAGGTATTAATTAGTATAAATACTGTGATAGTCATCAATATTTAAAATAAACACATTATTAAAACTATTTACAAGATTTGATTCTATAATTTTCAGATGATTTTTGAATATAGCATCCTTGTGGTAGTAAATTGAATGAGATATCATTGTTATACCTAATATTGCCAGAGTATTGATTATCAAATTAGGTGTTTCTGTAGAATCTAAATAAATTTCTAGATTTCTTTTTGTATTATTAACAAATTTATTTCTACTGCCACAAATAAAATAACATAAAAATAGCAATTGTTGTGATACTTTTTCTATTGTATTTTTGTTTTTTGCTGCTTGATCAGTTGACAGATATAATTTATCAAAGAAAAGCTCTAATTTTACTTCTAATAATGTCAATATACAGGAATCTGCATATAGTATTTCAGCACCTTGGGATAATACAATATGGCGATTTCTTTTATTATAATTTTTGGTACCTTGGAATAATACAATATGAAGATTTCATTTATGATAATTTACTATATTTTTTTTTTACTTAATTTATAATTTTTATATTATTTTAAATAAAATTTCAATCAACATATCTCAAATAAAAAGTTTATTTAAATTTGTAATAAGCACAATAATGATCTAATTGAAAGTAGATTATTATGATGTCAATCTAAGATATATTAAACAAGAATTATGTAACTGATTGAGCTTAGTAATAATTTTCTTACTATTGGATAAATTATTCTAAGAGACTAATATAACGTGATCCACCAATCAAATTACAAGTATTAAAAATGATCTGCAAATGATCTGCATAAAATCAGCCAATCAGACAAATTTCTGCCTATGATATTAAACACATCACCATCAAAAGCTCCGATTCCGATAAAACCTCAGGAGCAACATAAGGTATAACATCATAAATACCACCTTCTGAATCATTTTCGTTATGCTTTTGGACAATCTAAAATGTAAGATCGCATGTTTTCGTTAATTCATTTATTCTGCAAAATATTGCCACTATGAAAGTCGGCGTGAATATACCCTGCATCATGAATGTTAAATAAATCTAATGAAATGTCTTCAAGTAGTTTTAATTTAGTTTGTCAGGTAATATCACGAAAATTTTCTCTTAAAAACTTGTGAAGACACCCATTATCAGCGTATTGAAATACTATCAAGTATTCATTTGTTTCTGTATT